GTACGTATGTAGCTATACAGCAAAGGTCAAGAAGGATAAGACATTCAATATTGGGTAGAAAAACTATATTCCCATTATTTTTATTTTAGGTTCTTACTGGAACATAAAACTTCAAAAGCACATCTCCATTTCTGCCTGTTTCCTCAAGTCTTTATAAGCCTGGCTCCACAACAGCTATTAGGGCTGTCATCTTCTCTTCACACAATTTTCACTATATCACCATCACTCTCAGTCACTCCAATATTCGGGTGCTACTCGAGGCGATGGCAAGTGGTATTACTCAATGGTTACCATGGAGTGTATCCCTTATCCACTTCCATTTCCTCTGAAATGGTGAACAACAGGCTCTTGGATGATTCATTTTTTTAAAGCTCCTTGTTGCTTGTCATTTTCGGCCAACTAGCCAAGTGGCTAGTTGATTTTCTTCAAATTTAATCAAAGAAGGAACGAACACACTGGAGGTATGTAGATGACTAATTCACTGTACTTAGAACACAGGATATAGATAGGTAGATTTTTCGAACACATTAACTCAAAGGTGGAGGCAATTCAATTCACTGATGATTAATTGGAAAGTCAGGAAGCAGGGGAACTTTCAATGTTAGATTGCAGCGTAAAAAGGAAAGAAGATGACGGGAAGTTAAACACTAGTGTGTATTTAAAGGAAACTCACACATTTAAATAGATATTTGGACTTCCGATCACCCCATCTTAAGTCAGTAAAAGTAGAATTGGTGAAATGTTTACGTGACAGAGCACAAAAACTGCGTAGCACCAAGAAAAATCTAAGACTAGAAGTGAAACATATAAGAGAAGCCTTGAAACTTAATAATTACCCGGATAAATTAGTCAAAAAGTGTGTAGGGAAATGTAGAAATAAAATAAATAATGGTAGTAGTGATAGTAATAATAATATTAATGACGATATGCATGTCAAATAATGCGCAAGATAACACCAACAATAAGGAATCTAAATCATCAGTAGTAATCCCATACAAGGATGGAACCTCGGAAACCACCTTATGCAGAATTCTTAATAATGCTGTCAGGAATAATAGTGACTGGCATTCAAACCACCCAGAAACTCAATTAGAAACAAGCTTTGTCGGCTAAAAGATCAATCCTGTGGAGCCTTTAAAACAAAACAATTTAGTTTATCTAAAACCCTACCCTGCCTCCAATGATTGTCAGGTCAAATGCATAGGTCAAATTAGTAGAACAGGGTCAGTCAGACTAGCCGAACATAAAAATCTAGAAAAACTGAGATTAGTTGATCTGAATAAGGTAAGAAATCTAAAGAATAGTTCGGCTATAGCACCCACTACATGCAATTACACACAACCATACAATAGGATGGGATAAGATGCAGTTTTAAAATCTAGTGTAATAGCAGGGTGGAGGGAGAGATTGATAACAGAAGCTTTGTTTATGGAATCAACTGCAAATACATGTAATAGGAATGATTCAACACCTGTCCAGTCGGATATCTGGAAAATTCTACTGCACCAACGATGACAAATAGGAGAGGACAGAGAAAACTATTAAACTCAAGTTTTGAAGTCGTGTGATTATTACTGATATGATTATGAACAATAAATTTTGTTTGAAACCTCATCTAGTAAATAATACTGTTTCACTGTGTGATACATCTAACAAACAAACTAATATGGAATTACTTACTACCACAGTGCCCAAGTTTTACACATATATTAAGACGAACAGCCTTTGAATGAACATTAGTTAGTAGTTAGGGTGATATGTCTAGTCCTTTTTTGTGTGATGTGGACTGAATTTTATCAGTCAGATTTCCAATTTTGACATCATGCTAGGTGCCTCGCCATCAGAGTACACTTTAAATTGTTGACATTAGATGGTTGGAAACGACTGGCTGCAAGCCTTAGACCTAGATTTCATTCCAGTCGGCACTGGTCAGCAAGGCATATCTGCTACCCTGAAGGAACACATATTCTTTGTGAGATTCGAACGCAGCATCCAGCCATCGAATGTCATTAGTTCAAAATGCACTGTGATGGCGAGCCACCTAGAATGCTGGCCTCGTCGTAAACTTGACCGCCGGAATTCAGTCTGCACCAAGCAAAGGACTAGGCACAGTAGACTGGAGTTACGTAATACAAATTGCATTCAGAGGAATTGAATGTTGATGTTAGGGGTTAGTAACAAAAGTGATGAGTTGTCACAAACTATAGTTAAAGAAGAGTTAGTAATAACACAAAGAGTTTGATAAAAGAGTTGTGCTCAAGGTATGTATGGAAACAAAATAAAATACGGAATTACGTAAGAGTTTTAGGTAATTAGAAAAAAACAAGCAAAAAAGCAGAATTTAAGTTAAATCAACAGAGTTTTTACCATCATAGTAGAAGTGGCTGAATAATTCTCTCTTTTGTATGCGTAGTACTGGTTCTGCTAACTGAATGGTTAGGTCTTCTGCAATACAAAAAATGACAGAAACGTATTGTCTTTAGCAGGTCGTTCTTCACTTTGTAGGTTTTTTTTGGAGAAAGCGTTTGTTAAGATGGAATGGCCGGTGGTGACAAGATGTTCGATTAATGTACTCCGTATATGGCTACTACTTCCTTTCTGTAGCCACGCTGGAAAGTGTTTTTCAACCCAGTTTTGACAGGATGCGCGTTGAACGACCGATGTAAAAAGCTTCACAGCAATTAGTGAACTGATATATGGATATAGAATCGAATTTCAGCATGTGTAACTGGGTATACAAACAATGAAACTCAAAAGGTCCATTTTGTATTTAGATTTCTTCAATCTTTCTAGCATGCATTTCTGAATGATGTGAGTGTTATTCAGTGAATATATCATCTACATACTTCCACCATACTTTTGGGATGGGAGTGAACGTTTCAATCGCCGTGTTTTCCCACCTATCCATGAATATATCTGCGACAACTAGGGATATTGGTGATCCCATGGAAACTCCCTCAGTTTGTTTGTATATTTTCCCTTGGAATTTAAATACTGTGGAAGTCAGGCATAGCTAGCTGTACTCCCAGCATTATGTCCTCAGGTGGCACTTTCGTCCTAAGTTCGAGTTCTTGGTCAGAAATGAGTTCGTTTCTGACTCCCTCTATAGCCATATTTATTGGTATACGTGTGAATAAACTGGCAATGTCAAAAATAACCGTTTTCTCTTCATTATCTAATTTTAAATTATCTAATCTGTGTTTTAGTTCATAAGAATAAGTTAGTCTAGATTTTGATCGGCTTTTAAGGGGATTCAATACCATGGCTCAATATTTAGATAATTCATGAGTAGGTGAATTTCTAAAATCAACTATGGGTCTAATAGGGTATCCTGACTTATGAACTTTAACAGCACTATACATCCTACTGGATTTATTAGTTTTGGGCATTAAATTAAGCCACTTCGACTCACCTAGAAACGGCTTCATTCAGGGTATACGGTCCGCCATAGATTTCTTAACCTTATTCATAACAGTATCTGTTGATTTATTACGAGCACCTGAGGGTTATTCAACCACATGTGATAATCAGTCAGTAGCACACAGCATCATGCATTAATAATTTCGTTCTTGATTGTTTTTAATGATAAAAAACAGATCCCACACTGTGGTCGGAATAATCTCTGTTTCCATAGGAATCTGTGAAGGAGTCTTATCTCCCTAAACTGCGTAAACTGTTAATTGCGAGTTCGATGAAAAGGTCTACCAGTCCATCAAAGTGTAGCTATTCAGAGGTCAACCCATTTAAACAAATTCCGCTTTCCTATTTGGTTAAAATTGGATCAATCTTTGATTAAAACGGCCATTCCATTTATATACTACTGATGGGTTGATATAAGTAGTAGGAAACCACTTATATCATTGAATAGTGCTCGCTAACCAACCAGACTGCAGTGATCTACTCAAGAGACGATCAATCCACTCCATTGATCTGGAGGTTATCACAAATTCATCTACCAGAATTTTTGGTGTGGTTGTGCTCTCTGAGCTGGCTGGTTGATTTGCGAAGCCTTCATCGACCTACTAGGAGACATCTTTAGTGCATACTCCAATTCAAGGATGTAAGCTTTTAGGTTTCTCCACGAGTTTATTAGTCATCTCCCCTGGCAGGTGACTTTGAACGTGATTGCTTATTTTTGTGTGTTTTCACACCTTCTAGGCTACTTGTATTGGAACTGATTGTTTCTTTGACTTGAACTTTGATCCTTTGTGTGTGTGAGGTTTCCTTCTTATGGGTTGATAAATTTTGTCTATGTCGATGTGTCTATTGATTGATGATTCACTGGAATACTGGGCTGGCTTCTAAAAATTCTCTAACATTCTTGGTGTCTCCTCTATCTAATATTTGAACGTTGTCCCGGTCGAACTGATTTCCGTGGTTGCCTGTATTTAGTCGTCTTCGTCTTCGTATCCACGAACATATGCTAGCCGTCAAAAGACATGACATCCACTTCCTTATATGATTACATACAAACAACCACGGACATCAATTCGATTGGGACAACCGACGTCCAAATATTAGACAGAGGAGACACCAAGAATGTTAGAGAATTTTTAGAAGCCAGCCCAGTATTCCAATGAATCATCAATCAATAGACACATCGAGATAGTCAAAATTTATCAACCCATAAGAAGGAAACCTCACACACACAAAGGATCAAAGTTCAAGTCAAAGAAACAATCAGTTCCAATACAAGTAACCTAGATGGCGTGAAAACACACAAAAACAACCAATCACGTCCTAGGTCACCTGTGGGGCGAGGTGATTAATAAACTCATGGAGAAATCTAAAAGCTCACTTCGACTCACATTGAAGTATCGCTGAAAGCTTCTCAGAATAACTATCCAGCTCGGAGAACACAACCACATCAAAATCATCCACCTGAGCCACAAATCTTCTCCATCTTATCTACCACAATGTTTCTTAATAATCTCACCTTTTCTCTGATCTCTTTTAATAAAATTTCACGTTTTTCTGTTCTACTCCTAATCACACCATAGGTAACAGATTCCCCACCACGAGCCTATTCACACAGATTCACCAGTCAACATGAAAATCCAACTGGTGAGGATATATCAAGCCTGAGTTTACAACGTCGATTCAAAGATAATAATAACCACTATACAATGAATGAACAAGGCAAGCTGATAAGAGTCGGTGAACAATACTCCAGCAATCCTGATGAGAATTTCATTAGTGCCGGATCAATACTTATTTCTATTGTTGCACTAAGTTGTGCAATCATACTGGTTCTTCTAGGGATTACAGTTTATGTTTGTGGTCGACGAGGATTTCAGAGTCTACGATATCATACTAATAGAAATAATAATCATAATAATAGTAATAATTATCGAACGCAGTATTTAACACGGAATCCTAATTCAATCAATAGTTTACATAAGATAACTGATGAAAAACTTCATTGGAAAACAATTTTAAACTCGAATCACAATAGTCATAGTAATATTCATACACCCAATCTAACTTTATATCCAAATAGATCAATACTGATCGATAAAGACAGTGGGAATCTCCTACACTGTCATATTGATTCAACTAATAATTCAACAGTTATGAATAATGCAGAAGATTATATTGAAGGTCAAACTGAATCAATACGTTTAACACCATTGAATATTATTGAACAAGGTCACGGACAACAGGAGAAACATTCATCTCATCATGAAGGAGGTTATACCACATTTTTACCACTGTCAGAGCATTCATCTAACTGTTTGACAAATTACACTAGTCTGCCATTAGATGAAAAGCACCATTCAATGTATATTCCGCTACAAATTTCCCCCTTGATGTTAAATGATCAATTAAAACAAAACTGTGAAAAGTATTGGACGCTGAAAGATAGCCATAATAGTTATTCAGCCTCGGCGGAGAATCAATATGATCAGAGACTGGTGTCATTCATAGCATCGAAAGGATACCAGTGTCTACGTCAAGCGCAAAATCAATCCTCGGAGAATGATAGTAGGGAAGAACAATATGAGTTGAATGACAAGTCAATAGACACAACGGTTACAGAGACCAATTCTAATACCACAACTACTATAACTACTATTACTGCTACAACTGCTAATAACAATACTAATACTAATGCTCCCATTGAAACTAATGATATTGTAAATAGTAATATAACAAGTAAATATACTCCTGCCTATCATACACGATCATTAAAATGTAAAAAATCGGATAAAGCCTTACAAATAATGAATGAATTATGTGTAATGCCTGATCATTTGATAGAAACAACACATAATGGTCATTGTACATTGAACAACAATAGGCATTGTTTAAATGACGATTCCAGGAAGAGGAGTAGTAATTTAAAAAGTTCAAAAAGTTGTGAATATATCTTTATACCGCATATAAATCATGTAAGTTGATATATAAATTGTTTGAGTTCACTTCTTTTAAATATGTATGTTGTTTTTCGGTTTTTGTCAATTAGGAGGCAGGTCCGGATCGAATTGGACGGAATGGGTATTCTAGATTCTCCTGCTACTCATCATCAGTCAGATTACTTCAAGTTATTCCTCAGCCCCTCACTTAGCCCGGGGTTCAATCACCGGCCGACGTACTCCTCAACCACGCTTAGCTGGTTATAACCCAGGCAAAGGGGGAGGAAGGTGAATTAAAAACAAATAATACCTAATACTTATTGCACTAGAGATGGCTCTTGTGTTCCAAGTTGTCGAGTGGATAGTGCATTGACATTCGAAATGATGGGTCCTGGGTTTACTTACGTCTAAATGCGAACAACATCGCTAGCTTGCAAACATAGACAGATCCAGCTGAGTGATACCGAATAAGACGAAGGGCATATCACGGATTTCCCTGCAAGTGACCATTATCCGAAATGTAATCATTTCCCTCCTAAAATCAACTCCATTGATTGGATAGAACAAAGACAGTCACATTACAGCTTGGTGTTGTCTGAGGTCATGAATGATTTCCTATAATAATAATAGTAATAATAATGATTTACTTTATTCCAAAAACAGTACTTGTGATACAGAATGGAATTTTCAGCATTAATCACAATATTGCATCTAATTTCCTCAAATTATAAATAAAATTAATCACACAGAAAATTTTCCACATTTACAATAGAGGTAGTGTCAAAAACATGCAGCATATAAAATGGAAATAGCAATAATAATGATAACAGCTAGGGTAATAATAATAATAATACAAGTGAAAATTGCCGTTGGCTTGTGCCACACAGTATTGTCAATGTGGTATAGAAATCCTAACATGTTTAAAAATATTGAATATAATGTTCTCTTTACATGATGGTGATGGTGAGGGGAAAAACAAAGATTACAGCCGTCATGGAGATAAGTTGGTGTTTGCAATTATGAGAGTAAAACAGAGAAGTAACAGGACCATAAATATAATAGAAGTAATAAAAGTAAAACTTGAAGGTATATAAGGATGGATGGAGGAAATTGTTTATTTACTAGATGAAAGAAGGTTAGTTAATTCTTGCCTGACACTATTTTCATCACATAAAATACGTGCCAAGTATGGTATCATAGAATTTTTATACTTAGACGTGCGAGCATACAGTTTTCTGAAGTTACTTCTTGTTCTACCTGAGGAGATGCAAGGTGAAAGCTGAGGGTAAAGCGGATGCTCCAAGTCAGACAAAATCCCTTTAGCAAATTTATTGCACGAAGTCAAATGCCTATCGACAACGACGTTAACTATGTGGTCCACTGGGACACCACTCACCCTACTGACAGTCTTCAGTATTCTACGAATTGTGACATAGTCCTTTTTAAGCAAACCAGGAAAGAATAAGGGTGAGCAATAAAGAAGAATAGGTAGGATGCAAGAGTTTATGAACTGTAAGAGGAGGGGTTGAGTTATACCCGAGTGTCTTAACTTCTTAATGTAAAATGTCAAGCGGAATATTTTACTGGAGATTGCTAAGACATGGGAAGACCAGGAGAGATCAGAAGAGAGAATGAGTCCAAGATACTTAATTTCTGATTTGATTCCTATATCGTTGTCGTCAATTTTACAACTGTCATGAGAATCGATGACTTCTTTTAACTGTCGTTTACATCTTAAGCTGAAATCAACAGTTTGACACTTAGAAGGATTCAGTTTAAGACCGTTAGACTCAGACCATTTGCTGACTTCCGATAGAAAGCTATTTATTTTAGTACAATCTAGCTGGGAGTTAACAGCCATTGAAACCGTTAAATCATCAGCGTACTTCACAAAGTTTATTTCATCAGAGTGAGGCAAGTCGTGCAAGAAGAAAGAAAAAAGAAAAGGAGAAAGAACGGCACCTTGAGGGACACCAGCTTCAGTAGGCAATGAAGTGGAGGACTTCCCTTTATATTCGGTGTACTGCTTTCTATCTGAGAAATAGGAATGTAACCAGTTAACAGCCCAACATTCTGTTTGACTAGCAGCAAGTTTATTTAACAAGATGTCCCTAGGGACCGAGTCGAAAGCAGATGTATAGTCAACAACAGATTTTTCATTTGGCTGTCTTGTCAGCGTGTTTTGTCATAAAGGTCGTATATCTGCTGTGCTGTACACCTACTGTAAGCGCGGAAACACCCTAAGATTACTGTTATCCTCACTGAATGAAAGAAAAGTTTCTCACTAACGAATTAGTTTATTTTAATGTTTCTATGCCTCTATGCACCAGCTAACTGGCAAAATTAACCAATAACAGGCGACCTAAGCGAACGAACCAGTCTATGACCCTGAATTGACCAATTAGAATGAAGCACTCTGATCAAAGAAAAGGAAATGGAACACTCATTATTTGTAAAAAGGAAGCCACTTTATATACGACTGCGATTCAAGGGCGATATACCAAGTGAAATAATTACGAATAAGTTAAAAAAAATCAGTTGAAAGAACTTCTAACGCTGGCAAACTACACGTCTTATTCTCTACACGACTGACATGTGGTGATTCCTCAATTGAAACATGAAGTACCTAGACCAATGAGCGAGTTATATTGGCCGCTGATCTACGAACTCGATTCTTCGTGATCACTCTGGAACATCTTCCAGTGTGTTTAGGCAAAGGTGTAGTAAAAAGCATCAACAGTTCGATGTTAGTCCACCTGGTATATACCGGTTACAAAGTCAACATTGAAGAATCCATCATCTACTGCATAGCAAATAAATGGCCACATTATGATAACCAATAACCACACGATATTTTTATTTAGTTGTGTTCTCTGAGGAGCTGGTTGATTTAACTGCAAAGCCTCTGTCGTCCTTCTAAACAACATCTTCAGTGCAGGTTTTAGCATAAAATCTCCATTGTTTTGACCATACGATAATCACGCCAGACAAGTGCAGGTCTTATTGGTCACTAGGCTACCATTCAGTCTGTCTGTCTCTCTGTCTGCTGTAGCGATTAACGCTCCCAACCTTCCCAATTTACCGGACTTATTGCCAGCTAAGTGAGGTATAGGAGTGTGCCGCCCAGGGCTCGAACCTTGGACCACTTTCGTGGTTGGCCAGTTTTCTACCACTTAACTACCGACACAGAGATCTACACTAGGTATTTGGTATAGTTGTTATGATTATTATTGATAACTTGAGTCTCTTACGGGACACAGGTATTCAGAATCATATCTCCAATGTCCTCCGTTTCCTATCATCTTTCTTAGCTCCCTCCGCAACTGACCCATGACCTTCTCAGACGTTCAACCAGTAACTATCCGTCTGCGTTCATCCGGGAGTCTGGCGTGTGATATTGGTTGGCGGTAGTTTTAATTTCTTTCGAAACTTCTTTCATTAGCAGATTCCCCACTGATTCAGTGAACTTTAAGTGTTTCTTGTTGCTGGCCTATCCTTTTTTGTGGTCATCTAATCTTCAGGATACTCACCGACCATGCACATGGTCTGGGGTTCGATTTCCCGCCGACGCACTCCTTTATCTTGCTAAGCCAGTAGTGAGACTGGTAAAGAGGAAAGGTTGGGCATGAGGCTAGCAACCCGATCCTGTAAGAATTAACACTGCTACAGAAACTTCAAGCCTCTGGCTTGGTTCCACTGGGAACGTGAAGGAAAAAAAAGGAAAAACAAAAGGAATCTTCAGTTATCATACGAGGGCATGTGTTGATGACAGTCTGTAGTGACTTCTTGGAAATAACTTTCGTGATGTGTGCACCAAGTCTTTGATTCACATAGTGAAGTATTGACTGACTTTGATTTAGCCCTAATGAACATCTGTTTCGATTTTGCGTTTAATATGATTGCCAAGAAATGCTCAAGAGGTAAATAATAATAAGCTATCCAAAATTATTCACTATTTCGAAAGACACTCAAATAGTTAAAAACTTACACACCCTATTTCTGTATTGTTATCTTCTTCTTCTTTTTTTTCTTGGTCTTTCATATCCTCCCTTTTTTAAGTCATCATCCCCGCCAGTTTCATCGAACAGGAAGAATCGTGATCACACGTCGCCAAGATTAGATGCAAATGTTACCATATTTACCGATCCCAATGACACACATAAAGGTCAGTATTGGTTTTTTTGTGTTCCATTTATTTTGTTTTTCTATCCTTTCATTCAACTAGGATTCTATCATGAATTTTCAGCATTAGTGAGACAGAGAGTTACTGAAAAGTAGAAGGTACCAAACAAATGTTTCGTCTTATTTAAGGACTCTTCAATAGTTTGCACCCGTGGTGTCACTGGGGGGGGTTGGGGTTAACATCCTGCAGACTAAGAGAAAAGCGACCCTTCACACAGCCAGTAGATATACGCCTAACTCTTAGCTTCTGAGATTTGTGTCTCCAGTGCTGGCCAATGATGCTATTGGCTAATATATGTCCTCACACCCGACTTAATGAACCCCAATACTACATGGTTTCCAGGGATTCATTGATTGATTTATGTGTCTGTAATAAGATATTGAATAATTTAATTGACTGTCAAGTGGAATCTGCCCTTATGGGAACAGACGAGGTGGAGGTGGGTACAACGGTTACATGGAGAAGACAATGTTAGATTATTTTAGCATGAAATGAAAGCTTACAAATATGCAATAAAGTCATATATGTCCAAACCAAGTTCACTTTTAAAAGTTTGGAAAAATTTGGTCATTGGATATATGATATTCATTATAATGAAGGTTTTTGTATTTCCCAATGAATGAAAAACAAAACGATGTCGTTGTTTTTACTGATGTTTCGCTATTTAATGCTAAAAGCTTTACCAAAGTATTATTAAACCGGAATTTACAAAATCTCAGCATATATATAACAAAGAGTTAAGGGGTGAGAAAATAGACTACTTAGGTCAAGTTAAAAGGATATATTGAAAGTCAAAATAACAATGACAAAGGTAATAGTACATCTGTTATGATATTAAAACAAAGTTTACTAACTTGATCATCGTTCGTTAATCTGGGGTCATTTTTCGTTGTCACGTTGGTCAGTTGGTAAAGATAACAAAATCAAGTATAGATTGAAAACAAGTATAGATTGTTGGATTTGATCAGTGTGTAAAATTATAAAAGCAGTGTGTGTTTACATAGTGAACTTGCATATCACATTCATGTTGATTTTGTCACTTCATGAGGGAGGAGAGAGAGGTGTTGTAAACAGGTCAGATTCTGTTTTAGTCCATCATTCCTATCCAGTTCAGGCAATTCGGATTCCACTTGATATGAAGTGCTTCTGATATTAGACGTTCTTTGTGATTTCTGAAGAATTTCTGAATGATTTCAATATGGTCAAAATCAATTTTGTAGCCTGATTCTATAGCGTGTAGACCTATGGCTGATGATTTTTCAAGTTTTTCTAGTTCAACCGGATTTCTCGGTGGTCGAAGAGATGTTCTACGGTGTTCATTTCTTCTGATTTTGATTTCTCGAGATGTTTGTACGATGTATATCGCATCACATTCAGAGCATTTTATTTTATAGACACAATTAGATAGAGAATCCTTAGGGATTTGGTCTTTTATATGGACAAGGTTGTTTCGTAGTGTGTCTGATGTTTTAAAGAAAACTCTAATGTCGAGCTGATTGAGTACTCTTCTGATATCATCTGACGTATTCCGAAAATATGACTAATGCGTTATTCATTACATGGAATGGGGATTTTCGATAACTAACTAACTAACTAACTAACTAACTAACTAACTAACTAACTAACTAACTAACTAACTAACTAACTAACTAACTAACTAACTAACTAACTAACTAACTAACTAACTAACTAACTAACTAACTAACTAACTAACTAACTAACTAACTAACTAACTAACTAACTAACTAACTAACTAACTAACTAACTAACTAAATAACTAACTAACTAACTAACTAACTAACTAACTAACTAAATAACTAACTAACTAACTAACTAACTAAATAACTAACTAACTAACTAACTAACTAACTAAATAACTAACTAACTAACTAAATAACTAACTAACTAACTAAATAACTAAATAACTAACTAACTAACTAACTAACTAACCAACTAACTAACTATACAGGTTTGAGGTGGGATGTCACGAAAAGAATGGATTTCGCCTGATCCCTCTGTCCTTTGATTTTGTGATATCACGTATGTATTTTTTCTCATAATATTAAACTTTTTTGTATTTTTTCAGATCCCTGGAATTCTCTTCTTCAAACAAACAAAGCGACTGGATCACTATTCGACTCGCCGACTACATCAACCACATCAACTGTGACAACATCTCAACAAACTTCTCAAATACTAAATTCAAACAATACACTAACTACATCAAAACCTTCAGATTACTATACAAAACTTCAACAGATCAATAATAACAATAGTAACTTACAAGAAAAAATTAAAAGTAATGCCAAACATTTAAATTCATCTATGATTTATTTTAATAATTCAAAAAACAGTGAAGATTGCTATTCTTATTATCAGGCGCCACCACCTGTATCCTCTTGTATTCAATCAGTTGAAGGAAAAAATCAATCGAATCAATCAATAACACCTATTAATCTTATTGATTTAATGAATGATAAGTGTGGTATTAATTATACAACAACAGTATGTAAATGTGGTGGTACATTCAAAGATAAAACCCCCACCACATCTAATAATAATAGTAATAATAGCAATATAACTGCTGGTATTACTAACAATAGTAATCATGATAATAATAATAATGGTTCATTGATACATATGGTCAGAAATCACCGTCACCATCACCTCCATCATAATCCTCATCAGCATAATGCTCAACATCAACATCAGTATGATAATTCAACGATTCCAACTGATTTTGTTTGATCGAACTAATATAACTGAATGAAATGACCTTGGCACTATTTAAAAATTGACATATATATATGTATACACATTTATACACTTTGTAAATTATGAGAAAAAGAAGATTTTTAAAACAGTTAACACAACAGTCGTACACACACACATGTGCACATGTACACACTCACATAAAACACATGCACACTCAAACACAAATGAATTCACCAACACACAGAAATACAAAAAAGATAAAAATCTTATGCAACTTGTAAAATTTACATAACTCAAAGAAAAAATATATGAAAGATTTTAAGTTTCTTCTAAATGATGTCCGTTGCTTCTCTATACAGCATTCTTGTAGGTTTTTGTTGGCAGTGTACACTACACTGCTCATACTTGCCCTAGTTTACACTAGCCTGCTATAAATCCCCGCAAATTAATGGAGGTTAGTCACTGAAGCTAGAAACCCCACAGCGGAAGCACAATATTACCACTAGTGAAACTATAGAAACCTTCAAACGGATCTTGTTTGAGGACAGTAATTTATACACTGCATAATACTTATTTCACTATGCATCTGAGATAGGAATCCAAGTAAACATATAGAAAACAGAGGTGATGAAGATTCCTGGCCAACACCAGCAGCAACAACAACAACAGACAACAATCAGCCAGCATAAATAGGGGGACCCTGAAAGAAACAACCTCCTTCAACTACCTAACTGGGAAACATCGTTTCAGTTACAGGCGACAGAACTGACGAGGATATCAAAGCAGCGAGGATTGGGAAAGCAAGACAAGCTTTCATTACTCTCAAGTCTGTGTGGAGCATGAAAATGAAAATCAGATCCGGATTTTCAACTCCAATGTGAAGTCAGTGCTACACTATATGGATCAGAGACTTGCACTGCTCGTCTTGAAGCGCACCTCAAACAAACTACAGACCTTCACTAACAGTTGTCTTCGCCCAACACTACTCAAAATCAGATGGCCGGTCAGAAAAGATCAGCAACAGGGATTTCTGGCAATGAGCGAACGAACACAGGAGGAACCCATTATGCAACAAATAAGCAGGAAGAAATGGAGGTGGAGTGGCCGGCCATACTCTGAGGAAACCATCAAGTGACATCACTAGACAGGCCATCGCTCGAGTGGAACCCGAAAGGTAAGTGGCGAGTTGGTCCTCAATGCAAGGGTGACTTGGAGGAAGTCATGTGAAGAGGAGATGAAAGCATGTGGACAGACTTGGAGCGGGGTGAAAAAGTTGGCAGAAAACCGAAGGCAATGGAGACGTTGGGCTGAAGCCTTATGTTCCTCTAGAAATTAAAGGAAATAATAATGCATCTGAGAGAAGTTACAGAATTAATGAAATCCAAACAGTACTGAATAAGTGTTTTGTCCTTGTCCGGTACTCTTCAATGATGCTCAAGCAAAAAAAGCCAACCAAAATTGAACACAAGACTTTTTTTATATCGCTCTAATTACTTCCATCGGCCAGCTTTGACTGCACAGAAATGCTGAGTATAGAGTTGAGAGATATGATTATGTGTATATTTTAAGTTCCTTTATCGACGAAATCATCTTCGAAGCCTGTACAGTCGTGTTTATATTTGTCAATAATGTATGGTAGGTTATTATTGAGTAATAGTGGGAGGAGGTGACATAACGCATACAGTTACCTGGAAATGTTTCGTAAAGATGAAATAAATTGCGCAATACTCAACGTCACAAAGTAATTTGGAAACTACTCGAGTACTACGACGTACCCCAAATATTCATCAGCCTTATTCAACAGCTTTACGACAACGACACATGTCAAGTTATCCACAACAGAAAACTCAGCGAGGCGTTTGGAGTAAACACACAGGTAAAACAAGGGTGCTTATAAACACCCACGATGACATTCCTAATTGTGGTGGACTGATTGGATTAGGCGTCAGACAGTGAGTGGGAAACGAGAAGACAGGGACATCCTGGACCGACCGACGTGAAGAACATAGAACACCTGGATTTCGTGCGTAGATGATTTATGTTTGATGTTACACAAAATCGAAGACTTACAAGCGAAAACCGACAAACTGGTCGAAGAAGCAGCCGGTGAAGACAGGATTCCAAGTAAACGTAGACAAGATGGAGGTTATGAAAATAACCAACCAACAACAAGAACAATAACAGCAGCAACATCCAGTGCCGATCACCATCAGCGGGAATGATTTGAAAGAGGTTACTTCATTCACCACTTATCTAAGGAGCACTGTCTCAACTATAGGCACTCGGAACGGACGGGGATGTCAAATGGAGAGAGAATCGGGAAGGCGAGAAACACATTCATCAATGTGAAACCAATCTGGAAATCTTAGTCACTCAGCATCAACAACAAAATTCGGTCGGATTTTCAGTACAAACACGTCAAGTCAGTCAGTTCTTCTATACGGATCAGCAACTTGGCAGGCAGGTCACAAAGAATATTTCCAACAGCCTGTTGCAGACCTTTATCAACAACTGTTTCCCCTCTATACTGCATATCAGATGGCCGGAAAGAATCACCAACAAGAAACTATGGGCACAAACAAACAAAACAAGAACCTATCGCTAACCAACAAATATTCAGGAGAAAGTGGAGATAGACTGGACACTCGCTGAGGAGTGAACAATAAAGTAATAAAATAAAAACAACGTCACAATGGAGATAATAGTTAGAAATTCAGTAAGCTGAAAATTGTTTTCCTCTGAGAAGTAAGGGTAGCTGAGTGTCGACTTGACAGACGTAAAAGGAGAGAGTGAGAAAACAGCACGTGGTAAAATGTGCACAACCAACATGTTAAAGTGTTAATAGTGAATTAATTACTGAAAATATAAATGATCATGTAGGGAAAGAGCTTAAGATCATGGTGAAGAATAAGAGACCGAAGAGAACTTTTGTTTACACAGAGTTTGGGGTTACACTGATGAATCGTTAGCACCGCCTGCATACACATAGTACCCTTCTCAATCACCTTGTAGATAACTTCAAAAGACGATTCTGTTGAAGCTGTATAACTTGAGTTCACCAAGCTGTCGAAGGCCAAGCTTGCAATTATCTAACATTACCCCCCCCCTTTGATAACTATGCTGGATAATGACAAGTACTTAATCCATTGATAAGTTTCCAGAATTAACAACCAACCAATTAGAGTTTAGCTATCAAAGTGTGTGGGAATTACAAGTAGCGTTACGAATGCGCGGGAAAAGCAAAGTAGGATTATATATTAAGCTTATAAGAGAGTATAAGATTAAAAAAGAGAAACAATTACATGAAATCATACGCATAACGTACAATCAGATAACCTGTCTCTCACTGATATATTTGAACTTTCGTTTACATATTCAATAACTAATACTCCTTAACGTCTAGCGTCACACAAACTCAAAGATATGCTGGCAAAAAGGAACAAGTTGGCAGAAGAAGAAACATATGGAGAAGTCTGGAATCCAAGTGAATATAGAAAAAACGGAGATGATGAAAATAAACAGCCAGGCAGCAACAACAACAGCTAACAATCACTATCAACGGGAGAGGTTGAAAAGGGATCAATTGCTTCACCTATTTAGGTAGCAGGCGGTATAGTTTAAAATGCTAAAACGGGGATCGGAAAATCCTGAATGACCTTTATCTCTTTCAGAAATCAGTGTGGAAATCTTGTGCATTCATTCAGCCTACTACAAAATTTCAGGCGTTCAACACCAGTGTTAAGTCTGATCTACTATGTGAGTCAGAACTTTCGCGTGAACATCCAAAGAAAGCATTTCCAACAGGCTATGCAGACGAATCGGATACACAATGTCAGTTGGAACCCGACTGGTGGAATGGAGGAAACAGAGTGCGGAGGAGCTGACAGACTATGAGCAATCATTGAACCAACTAGAGAGGACTGCAGAACACAGGAAAAAGTGAAGATATACTGCCAAAGCCCTGTATTCCACCCTGTTATACTGAAACTATGCATTGGCACTAAGTGAATGCAACACGAACTAATTTCAATGAGTAAATCCTTGAAAAGCGGGGAGTAATGCAGAAGTGCTTCGTCCTATCCTGGGACTCTTCAGTAATACACAACCATTACCTTACAGGTGATAAATGTTAAAGCCTTCATTCAACGGGGTCACCTGGTTGACACTTCAGCCATCGTGGGCGAATCCAATGGCCAATGAACTCTAACTTCTAAAAGTTTGTGGTGTATACACCGCAACCACCGACTAATGATGTCAATGGGGATCTACTTCACCATGACATTGTGGACTTCACTAGCCACTATTCCTCACCAAACCATCTGGACATCCGTTGTGTAACCATTAAGGAATTTACAATCGATAGTTAGATTATGGGTATTCTTCGAAGGGATTCAGATTGCTTTCGGTAATAAGTTTCATCACGAGTCAACATGTATATATATATATGTATATTGATTCTTATTGTAACTACTTCGCTACTATGGGGTGCCACCGACAATTATGCATCTCATCCAACAGTTGTAAGACAATGCTACATGCCTAATAATTCACAATGGAAAACTTACGGAATACTTCAAAGTAAAGACAGTGTTATGTACTCGCCGAGTAGTTAATAGTCCTGACGCAAGAAAGTGGAAATCAGAAGACCACCAGGTTCACGATGATACTTGTATTTTTCAAACACAAGGAAAAATCAATGTCACACAAGAGTGTGAGTGAAATAGTATGACTGTCCGAACAAGTGTGTGAACACAAGTGCATGAGCGAATGTTCAAAAATGAACGAATCAATAGACAGTCTTAACATGATTGTTAATTATAATGGAATATCGATCCATATATACATAGCAAAATATAAAAGACTGTCAAACAAACACACATATTATGTGGATATATATCAGACAGGAGTGAGACAAGCTGGTTGCCCACTATCGCCAATGATTTTCCTGATTGTGGTAGATAGGATAATGCAACAGACAGTGGCGGGCAGTGAGGAAACAGGCATAAAATGGACCCACATACAAAAAACTTGGAGGATCTGGACTTTACCGATGATGATATATGTCTGATTTCTCACAAACTGGAAGATATGCAAGTGAAAAGCAACAAGTTGGCTGAAGAAGCATCCTGCGAATATAGGACTTCATGTGAACATAGAGAAAACAGAGGTGATGAAGATTCCTGGCCAACACCAGCAGCAGCAACAACAACAGACAACAATCAGCCAGCATAAATGGGAGGAACCTGAAAGAAACAACCTCCTTCAACTACCTACCGACCTGGGAAGCACGTTTCAACTACAGGCGG